CCCCAAAACCCCAAAACCCCAAAACCCCTAGACGCTAAGATTTCTGAGGTATTGATGATTTAAAAATAAGAGATTTATAAATAAGTTTTTAATATAATTATATAGTATGGATGCAATAATTTTTGATTCTGTGCCTTAATAGAATTAATAAGCTGCTTTGGCTTAAAGCAGTCAATAAAATATTTATTATTTTAATTCCAATGAGAATTATTTATTTCAAATTCCAATGACTCTTCAAAACTCAGAAGAGTTCTGGATTCTATATTCTTTGTTCTTATAGTGGCTTATAGAGGAAAACCTGCTGTAGCTAAAATCAGTTGGCATTTCAAGCATTGTATTCTTACTCTAATAATGATAATTTGATTAGGATTCACTATCTATTTGTAGGTTTTGAATTTTTAATCGTAGTGCTGTTTATATATTATTTCTAACATCATTTTTGTCTAATGTTGAATATCTGCTTAGTGCATTTTTGGAATATACAGTTGAGCAATCATATTTATCAGATTAAATTTGTTATAATTCTTCAGTTTGAAAATCTTCTTCAGTTATTTCTTCTTTGACAATCTAAAGTGAAGATTCATTCAGTTAGATCTTTGAAAACTATAACTATGATAGAAGCTAAGAATTAGTCTTGATTCCTCTAAACTTTTATTTCCCAGAAGTTGAAAATGATGAATTAGAGAATAACAAGTCAAAGTCATTGTCAATTTTGATTTATTCGACGTCATTCATTTCAGGTTTTTCAGCTATTATTATTCTCTGCTGTCCATTATTTTTATAAGTTATGGGACGAGGCATATCTGGGGTATTTGATTTTCTAGATTCCTTCTCTGCTGATTTTTTAAGCTTTGTCTATCGTTTCTATGATTTTTAATTTAAATGTGACTCTAAATCCTGAAGCAATCCAAGATTATCACTGATTTATTAATTTTGTCTTGGGCTATTGTTTTAGGATTTTACTCGATAAATTTGCTTATTATTCTTTGAAAATGACTGATTCATTATTAAAATTTTAATAGCTTCCTAGTCATCCTCCTCTTGATTGTATTACTAAATTGGTCTCGCAGTCAAAGGAGAATCAGGTAATTACTGAATTCTAACAGTTCCTTTGGTTTTGGTTGTAGTACATCCCATTTATTGATTCTACTGTGTGAAATGTTTCCTTATATATATTATAAATTCTATTAATATGCTTGATAATTTAAATAGAGGTAGGAAACTTTATGTAATTTAGTATTTTACTAACCTTGATATTTGTTTTTGCTAAAGTTTATTGATTTTCCTGACGGGGTTTTGGGGTTTTGGGG